CAAGCGTATAAACTATTATATTATTGATAAAGTTTCAATTTTTGGGTTATTATTTATCATAATTCGACCTTTTAACCTATCCATTTGAGTTATTACTTTAAAGATTACGAAATTATTGGCATGTGGAATCATGTTTAATAGAAGGTTGGATAGTAAAATAATAATGGTAATTAAAAAGTAAAAGCAGAAAAATCGAAGTGGGCCGATTTCACATCATTACGGCCCACCCGCCCACAAATGGAGTTTGATACGGTCCAGTCTTTTGGCCCATGAGCCCGGCCCAATTAAAATAAACATAAATTTTTATAATGCGGTGAACGTGGATCGAACACGTGACCTTCAGATCTTCAGTCTGACGCTCTCCCAACTGAGCTATCCCCGCTGTTGTTGATAATTTCAAAACCAAAGTTACTTGTCTTGGGTTAACTACTTTACTAACTTGGGTTCTTTTTCGTGGTTATATTAGTTAATAATACACCATTTAACTTCACCAACCAATTTAGGACTGAACGGTTACTTTTATTTTTTATTTTTTGAAAAAAACATAAATATAAATATAGTCAAAGTATCTTAGAAACATTAGAAAATGAAGCCAGATCGAGCATAGCTCAAGTGGTTAAGGTACCTATCTTATTAGAAATTGAAGTAAGTGATTTTCCTACGTTAAAGTCTGTGAATTTTTAGTTTTTTTTTGTCTAATAAGTTCTATAATTTTAAAAAAGTATTTAATGGTTGATGATTTTAAATTTCGTGTCTAACAAGTTTTTGAAATTTAAAAGTATCTAATAGATCCATGAACTTTTAATTCCATATCTAAAAATTTAATAAATTTATCAAATAAAAAATAAAATTTGTATTTAATAGAATCCCAACTGTTCAATTTTGTGTCTTATTCATTCGTAGATTTTAAAAAATGTTGAATGGTTCATAGACACAAAATTGAAATTTAGGAGCTGTTATTATTATTTTTTTTAAAGTCTACGACCATTTTCTTTTCTCAAGGAAAACTATGATAAAATTATACTTATTTGTCTAAAGGGACCAAACTAAAACAAAAAAATTTAAAGGGAATGGATTCAAATTCTACGTGGTTGTCCGATGAAATTAGTCAAATTGGTTTGAAGATATAAAAATAACGATAATAATAATAACCTTTTATTTAAAAAAAACAAATAAAAGTAAGGTCGGAGTTTTTTTAATTAAATTATATTTTTTAAAAAAATTTAAAGCATTATACTACTTCTCCAATGATTATATAACTTTACAGCTGCAATGAAATCAAATTATAGTAAAATGGTTGTATAATCATAGTTCAATTAGTTTAAACATCTATTTTCGATCAAAAAGTCGCGAGTTCAGATTCCTACCTCCATATTGTACTAAAAATAAATAGTTTTTTTAATATATAGATATTATATTAAGAAAATACGGAAAGAAAAAAAAATCCCAGAGCAGAAACCAAATTTAAAGTTTATGAGATGAATGGGAAGAATAAAAAATATATATACCAAAAAGACGTAAGCTTAACCATGACCGGTATTACTCAGAAGGAAAAGAAAAACGATGGTGAAGTTCAAATAAAAATGGAGGAAAATTCTATTACAGGAAATCGTGTGAAAGAAATTAAAAAAAAAAATAACAAAAATATCGTATGGATAAGAAAATACCCTAAAATAAAATGTAATGGATTTTATTTAAAAATGGAAGAAGTTTTTTTTTCCTTTTTTTTAGTACAGAAGGATCGGTTTAATTACGTCAACATGTAAAGATATAATATAAGTTAAATAAAATAATGCAAAACATAATCAAATTAAATAAGGGTAGAAAAAGAAAATGTAACATAGAGAAATAAAATAACATATAAGTTAATATTTGAAAATATTTAAGGATATAGTATATAATTGTAAATATTTTCGTTTCATAATATATTTTGGATAATTAAGATAATTTATCGATGATTGACACTTGTCTCTATTCAAAAGAGTTTGAATCCCCACCCTCTTTTATTGTACTAAACAAGTATTATAGGCACCATTATGAAAAAGCGAAATATATGATTCTATAGTGTAAATTTCAGCAACTCGATAGAGCTTGAGAACTTGCATAGATTGTAGATGCAATTATATAATTGATTAGGAGCAAACTTATATAAATTTTATAGTCACTGAGATATGAATCACTTTTTCAAACTGAACGAATAGATATATAGAATTAGATCGATTACTAAATACTTTTCTAGATCTTTATGTTTCTTGTTATGCCCATATCACTTTGTTTACCATGCAAATAAATTTAAGATCTTGCATATTCTTCAAAATTCTCAACAATGACATGATGCAAGAATTTGATTACGTGAGTTTAAATTCTTTTTTTTTTGTCATAATGTCACAAATACTTTTTTTTTTCAATCATCATATTCAAACTATTTATTCTCTGAAAAAACTAGAATTTTAAGAGAAATTCATCTATAAATTTTTTGTTTGAGAACCTAAAATCGATAGCTTTTTTAGCTTTTTACCCTATAACTAGGGACACCTATACCGCCCCATGACCCAACCTCGGGAGATATCTAAGATTTTTTTGTATTAAATTCACCTAAAAATTTGAATATAAGGTAAGTAACTACAATACGTCATATCCATGCTAAGAGAAATTCACTCTATAACTTCAATTTTAATATATATTTTTTTCAAGCCTAGTAATTAGTATAAGTGTGACTTTTTTAGTATGTTTTATATTACAATTGAATTTGAGTTTTATTTAGATTATGTTTTTTCTAAATCACAATTTTTGGTATACAATTTAAGTTTATAATTAAAAGAGATTTATAAGACGTAAATGGGGGTGTAGCTCAAACGGTAGAGCGCTCGCTTTGCATGCGAGAGGTACGGGGTTCGATACCCCGCATCTCCATTTTCTTTCCCCTCTTTTTTTTTTTTGTTCTTTTAAAAATAAATGGTTGACTGGGCCTTCTTCCGGCCCATAAAACTGCGGCTGCACAGCCCTTTGCTATTTTCCACTTTTCTTTTAATATACTATTTTATTTTGCTTTATGACAATTTCGATGTTTATTATGGAAGAATGGCAATCATAAATATGCAACCCCTTCTTATCATTTTTTAAAATATTTTTTTAAGGATAATTTAAATATTCAGCAAAACTATGTGGTCTTATACAAAGGATGAAATTTACACCGTAAAAGCTAGGTTCGTTTTGGTCTTTTTTTTTCCCTTCCCTTTTAACGTTGAAGAATCGACCGCACCTCCATGTTTATTGAAACTAACCATTTTTTTAAAGCTTAATATTAATAGTAGAGATTAAAAACTAACCTAGCTTGTTTAAAGTTTAGGGACATAATTATAACTTTTCTTCTTTTTAATAATAACAACACGTAGAGATAGAGATTTGAACCTACCCTCTTTTATTTGTGAATATAAATACCTTGATCAGTTAAACTATAGGTTAAAAATAATTATAACTTTATAAAGTTTAGAGTTATATAGACACATTTCTCGAAGTTTACAATACGAAGTTTGACGTCGATGTGGGATAAGCGATAAAGATAACTCATGGCAGATTTTTCTTGATGCTTCAATCAAAGATAGAGGAGAACTGTGAGTTGGGATTGTATCGTGTAAAGAGATAATATATCAAATCTACCTCCATGAGAGTGCTTGCTTTCTCCCATTGCAGGAGAGGGAGTAGTGGTGGTAACAATGTTAGGGGTTTTAAGGCATGTTTGTCGATGAGTTCTTTGATTATGTTTTTTTTATTTTAACTAGCACAAAAAAATATTTACATGGAGACATAAGAAACAAGGAGGAATAAAATGTTTAACCTAATACAAACATAGTAGATGCTTTGTTCTAAAAATGCCATGTAATTCTTGATTTTAAAAAATAAAATAAAAAAATGTTAAAAGACAACTTTACTTTTGGTTTCAGAAAATGTTTCGTACAAATTGAGATAACTGTCATCTCTTATATACTATGGATCACTCTTTTCCCAAACCAACGTGAGACTTTGTTTCCACACCTTGGAACCCCAAACAATTCTATCATCGAATAAAGTGTCTCTTGTATATTGCCTCGAATAGTCATGCACTCATCTATTTTTGACTGACACCTCCATATAGAGCTCTTGCAACACACAAACAACATTGTGAGAACACTTGGTAACGTTCTATTGCACCCTCAATCTCCTCCCCTCGAACAAGGCTACATCATTCTTCTTATTAGTCTACCCCGACTTGATAGGGAATATCTTTGCTTGCCACATTGAGCACTTTTTGTCCGATTTGACCACATATTCATCTACAAGTTCCATAATGACTATTAGGCTCAACAATCACTCTTATGTTTAGCCTCCTATGATTTCCTCCACACAGTTAAGTTTTTGTTTTTGTTTTTTTTTATACTATGACTTTGATGTAATATGATATTATTCACTTTTGACATAAGCGGCTTTGTTTTTAGTTTCGACCAAAATACCTAAACCAATAGATTTTCCTCTATTGTATATCATATATATCATGGATGACCCTCTCTTGGTAGGATTTAGTTTGCACACTTTGCGACCCAAACAAAAAAGAAGAATGAAATATTTAATTTTAATTGGTTTAAATACTTTTTGGTTGCTTAACTTTAGACTTTGATTCATTTTGGTTATTGTATTTTTAATATGATCATTTTAGTCTCTATATTTTAAATTTTTGCTCATTTTAGTCCTTGTATTTTTGAAATATTCGTTTTGGTTTATGTACTTCTAAAAAATAAAAAGTGACTAATTTGGTAAAATTTCAACAAAATTTTTGTACACAATAAAAATCATTTATTACAAATTTATCCATATTTAAAGAAATTCAATGAAGGGAGTGTCATGTTAACATGAACCAAATTTAACCGTATTTAAAATTTAAACCATATAGAAAAAAAAAAAAAGACGAGAATGAAATATTTAATTTAATTTTATATTTTAGGTTTACCGTTCCCACTATTTTCCTTGTTCTTCAGTCCATGCACATCTTCTGAGTTCTGACCTTCCGGCGGTCTGGCCATAACTTTCCGACCGATTCACCGGAGACGAGGTCTACTTGAATCTCCATCTCCGGCAGCCGCAGAAGAAAGACGTAGCTGCCATGGCAGAGAAGGAAGAACAGACCGAGTGGCATTTGCACAGCGGACAATACCTCGGAGAAATCTCAGCTCTATGTTTCCTCCACTTACCTCCTGAAATCTCCTCTCTCCCAATTCTCCTCGCAGGTACTTCCTCTAATCAAATTCTTTCTGATGGTTTCCGTGTTGCATTTTCCAATTTTGACACAGTTTACAACTGACTGCTGTTTGCCTCCCGTGTAATGATGAAAATTGGAAAAAAAAAAAAAACAGGCTCGGGTTCTGAGGTACTGGTGTATAACTTGGAATCTGGAAGAATTATAAAGTCGTTTCGGATATTTGAAGGGATTCGCGTGCATGGGATTTCATCAATACCTTTGAATTTCAGTGAAGCGTCGTCTTCTACTAAGCTTGATTTTGTTCTAGTTGTTTTCGGTGAAAAAAGAGTCAAGCTATATCGTATAAGCGTCGAATTGGTTGCTGAAGTATGCGTGGATTTGATCCTGTTATGTTCTTTACCGAAGTTTAATCATTGGGTCTTGGATACTTGCTTCTTTAAGGTATCAGTGGTTCGGTTCAGTTCATAGTTTTTCATTTAAGTGGATTTACTAGCTTTTAGATTTTGTTCTGGCTATTCCTGCGCTATTAACTTTAAACTTTGATCGGGAGTAGAGCAGTGACTCTTCTTCCATGGCAGGTGATGATAGCTGCGGTTGTATTGCCATTGGATGCAGTGATAATTCTGTTCATGTTTGGGATGCTTCTGAATCTAGAATGATTCTTCAAGTTGAATCACCAGGTTAGAGCCCTAAAGCTGATTATCTTTGTCTAGATGACTTGTATTGGAAATGTTCGAATAAATTTGTGATTTGTCCTCCAGAATTTGGAGATACTAGTGTTAACTCTATCTCTGTTCCTTTAAATTTTTTTCTGCTTCTGACTCTGTATTTATGTATATCAGTGAGGTGCCTTTTATACTCAATGCGGTTGTGGGGTGATGATATTAAGACTCTTCGCATTGCATCTGGTTCTATTTTTAACGAGGTGCTAATCTTTCTTTGTATTGGGATTCCTGAATACCACTTTTTAAATTCTTCATCATATGTTTTTGAATTCAGAATCCTTTTCCCTATTTCATTTCAATTCTTTATGGAGATTTTGAATGTTGAGCCCCCCTCATCATCTGCAGCTTAGGTGCGTCAAAGCTGTAGGGTATTGCTTTGACTAATTTTTCCCCTATATGCCTGCGGATTAAGATTTGTTGAGAAGGCCGTGATTCCTATTTATGCCTTCATTGTTGCTTCCATTTCAAATTCACTTTTTTCAGATAATTGTTTGGGAAGTGGTTCCCTCAGAAATGACTAAGATAGATCACGATGAGAAGAGCAATGGCATTCCATTTCACCATTTGCAATATGAGGCTATTCATATAAGCAGGCTTGTTGGACACGAGGGTTCGATCTTTCGCATTACTTGGTCCTCCGATGGATCCAAACTGGTCTCTGTTTCTGATGATCGTAGGTGAATTTGTTTCTTGATTTTCACCAATTTTCTGATCTTCATGAATTGTATCCTAATTTTATTTTTATTTTTTTTGGGTTTATCTTCAGTGCTCGCATCTGGAGGGTACATGCAAAAAGGAATGATGCAGATAGCCCTGGGGAGGTTATTGTTATGTTTGGCCATAATGCTAGAGTTTGGGACTGCTGTATCGATAATTCTGTGAGCCTCATCACATGCTATAATTTTGGACTTCCGTGCCAATAATCTACTAGCCCCGTCATGTGCATCTTCTGTGTTAGCATGTCAGTTACTGAAAACTTGAAATGATCTTTTTTTAATTACCCATAATTTCTTGACACCTCAAAGTTTATCAAGTTGAAAATCCTAAATAAAATGTATCGAATAGAAGGTCGTTATATATAAATGTATGAACTGTCTTCCTTATTAAAATATTGGATCCAACATCTTCTCCCTCCACTCCCCTGGTTAATTCCCCGAACCATAAGGTCCATAAAAGGTTCACCTGGTCTAGGCTGCCAACCTTCCAAATTGCATCTGACAGAACTTTGTCAAGAGCAAGACCATTACCAGTCAGATTTTGGGCTAAGGAATTTACTGAAAATTGCTTGAACTCTGTATTTTTGTTATTCTTTTGTCATCTGTCTATCATACTCATACCTCAGTCAAAAGTTTTGAACTCTTCCATTTCCCTTTCATCCAAGTATCTCCTTGCTGTGATGTTCCAGTTAAGAGTCTCAGAGTCCCAAAAAGCACTTGCCTAGTTCCAAATTCTAGAGATCCATCTTTGATATTATTTGGACTTTATTACATAAAACATCACTTTATGTTTTTCCAAGAAGTTTTAAATTGATTTGAACTGTGCATCACGCTTTACGTATAATATCTACTTTGAGTTCTATTTGCTTATATCAAAATAAGAACTAAGAAGCCTGGTTAGTATTTCCTTGTTTGTTCCTGTTACCTGTATATGCCGTGCCCTGACTGTTCTTTTGGGTTATCATTGTAGTTGATAATTACCGCTGGTGAGGATTGTACATGTCGTGCTTGGGGACTAGATGGCAAACAGCTGGAGATGATAAAGGAGCATATGTGAGATGTGAAGACTTTTCTGTTTGAACAAGAGTTTTGTATTGTTTGTCTTAGTGTACTTTATGCGTGGCCATTACTTATAATTTTTAAGGACCATCAAAATATAGCTTCTCAATTTGGGTTATTTTTTCAAAAAAATTTAAAAATTGCCTACGAGGGGTAGCCCCGTTGGCAAGGGTGGGGTCTCGTAGTCCTATTGACTTAGGGGTCTCAAGTTCAAGCCTTCGTGTAAGCTTAATACCAACTCTTGATATCTCCCAGGTCCGGGCCTTAGGTGGGCACGGGTACCCCTGGGTATAGGGGAGCAAAGCTTCAACTACCGGTTATCGAAGGAAAAAAAACAAAAGACAAAAATTTTAAGATTCAGTTTGGCCAAAAATGGTACTATTTACATTTTTATTCTTGCTATTGTATGTTAACTTGAAAGTAAATAGGGATTGCACCAAAATTTGTTTAATTCCATGTCAAAAGTTATTCAACGTTGCTCCATTTTTTTCCGTCAAGGATTTTTAGATCAAGAAATTGATTTGTTTAAGTATTAATTTAGTTTCTGAAGGTGTATGATCATGGACATATTTACCACTCGCTGCTATCTTATGCGTATATTATAAAATTATTTAGAGAGCCTTTTCATGACATGCTTCATGTTTTCTTTTTTTCTTTTTTTCATCTTTTACAGAGGGAGAGGTGTATGGAGATGTTTGTATGATCCAATTTCCTCTCTTCTTATTACTGCTGGCTTTGATTCTGCTATTAAAGTGCACCGGTTAAACACTTCATCATTTGGGACCTCCAACGAACCTGCTGAAATTACCAGCTGTAGTATGAAAAGAGAGGTTTTCACTAGTTGTATTCCAAATTCATTGGATCATAATGGACTTATTGACAGGTGAAGCTCATTTGCCAGGGAGCTTTTTTAAAGATTTCTTGAAGATATATACTCATCGTCGGATTCCACTTCATTTCCTTTTCTTTTTTTGGAGGGGGTGGGGTGGGAGTGGCAAACAATCAGTTAATATTGTTTACTTACATTTTGCAGCAAAAGTGAGTATGTGCGCTGCTTGAGGTTCTCGTCTGAATTTACACTCTATGTTGCCACAAACCGGGGTTATGTGTATCATGCTACATTATCTGATACCATGGATGTGATGTGGACTAAACTTGTTCATGTTAGTGAAGAGGTTCCAATTGTTTGTATGGATTTATTGCCTTCAAATCCATCCACAGTTTCCAGTGGAGCTGAGGATTGGATTGCTCTTGGAGATGGTCAAGGAAGAATGACAGTTTTAAAAGTTCTAGGCGATTCAAATGCCCCTAAGCCTCACATCTTGCTTAACTGGTCAGCTGAAATGGAGAGACAGCTTTTAGGAACCTTTTGGTGCAAGTCACTTGGATTCAGGTTAACACCATTTCTTCAACTCTGATAATGATGTAACAACTGGCTGAGACTATTATGTGACCTGTGTTTGGACATGGATTTGTGTTTGATGGAACTTTGCATCCACATCCATCATTCATTTTATGCCCTGCAGACATGAGATCCACATGATGGTCTGAAGGCAACATTTTAAGGAAATTTAATTCTGTAATTTTTTTTCACATGATGGTTTAATGTCTCTTTATGGGGTTTGTTTCAAATTTATTCAGTAATTATTAGGTTCTATCCTTTTGGATTGGAAGCCCTTTCTTTAGGCTAGCTTCTTTTTTTGGGCTATTGTTTTTGTATGCCCTTGTATCTGCCTTTTGTTTTCATTAGTCTCGATGAAAAGTTCGGTTTCTTATAAAAAAAAATTTTGTAACGTTTTTTCTTTTTGAAGCCTAAAGATCATTCCTTGATTTTCTCTATCAATTATGTAGCAATATTAACCTTTTAGGTATTTTTATCTTTGACAAGAACAGGAGAGGGGTTTAAAATCATTTGTTGGATATGATCTCCTTTTATTTATTTTGTAGGTACATCTTTACTGCTGATCCTAGAGGGGTATTGAAACTCTGGAGGTTATATGATCATGTACCAGCTTCTCAGAATGACGGAAATTATAATGTATCTCTTATGGCTGAATATATATCATGCTTTGGCATGAGGATTATGTGTTTGGATGCATCATTTGAGGAAGAGGTACATTTTCCCTTTTCATAAATTTTATGCTAGTGGATAGTTACTTCCATTGATGATGACATGTTTTTTAATTGACCTAATGATCAATGTGTTAAACTTTAAAACAACCTCAATTTCTGTCTTCAATTCCAATTGGTGCATTATGTGCAAGCGTAATCTGGAGGATTTGAACCATCTTTTATGGCTCCGCCTGCCCTTTTATCGTTTACGGTAGACTTTTGGTTTCTGTGGTTTTAGTTCTAGTTCAAGAGAAATGATGGAAGAAGTTTTTGGTCCTTTTTTTCAGAAAAAAGGTTGTGTATTTATTTGGCAAGCTAGTTTTGTTGCTATTTTATGGAATATTTGATTGGAAAGGAACCAGCGAATCTTTATGGGTATTGATAGGTCTGGGAGGAAGCTTGAGGGTTGGCACATTTTAATGCATCCACTTGGGTAAACCCTTCATAATTTTTATAATTTCTCTATTTTTATTTCTAATCACCAACAGGCAGTGCCACTTTTTGTGAATCTTTTCGCTTCTCTTTTGTTATCCCTGTGTTGGCTGGCCTTTATGCGTGGTCTTATATGTACTTTCATTTACCTTAGTGAGATCTGGCTTTTTTTCATTGTAAAAGAAAGAAACCACGATGTTATCTTTTCAGCACATAATGGATGATGAAGTCATTAAGTCTTCCTCAATTTTCAATTCAATGCACTTATTTTTGCAGATTGTGGTGTGTGGTGATGTGCGGGGTAATCTTATTCTATTCCCTTTATCGAATGACCTATTACATGGTAGAACAATTACAACAGGAGTAAAGATTACTCCAACATGTTATTTCAAAGGAGCTCATGGTATATCAACTGTGACCAGTGTTGTAGTAGCCAGATTGGGATCATGCCAAACAGAAATACACTCAGTACTTCCTTTTCTTTCCCCTTAATGAATTTTCTATTTTTATGGTATCTAGGCATTAAGTTTTTCCATAATGTATCAGTGGAAATAGACTAAGAACCTCATTTGGACATCAGGACAGCAATGAATTTTGTTTGTTCTTCATCTTAGGAGCATTGTGACATTTACTAGTACTACTATTATTCCACGTGCGTTTTCATGCATTGGCATTCCCCTATATGTGAAGCTATAAATCAAGCATAATGAGCAGGTGATTTGTTCGACTTTTTCGTATTCTCATATTGAAAATTATATAAATATGGAATCTATAAGAGCTACCTTTTTTTTAGAACCAAGTTTATATAGATTTCAAAAAAGGTGCTAGGGTGCTAAATAAGCTATGTTTTCCTTTTCCCTCACTCTGTTAGCAACTGCTACATGCTGAAGTTGATGTGGAGAGATTAACATTAAGGCCCTAGACTACTTGGAAGATATTAATGATTCTGATCGAAATAATCATTTCCTTGGAAAATGTGCAGAAAAGAATAGTAATTTTCATATTTTGCTTAAAAAAAAAAGATATTCTCCACTTCCTAGTACACAAATTTTGTTGATATTCTCTGACCTACAGGCTTTAGTGCACCTAGAGTGTAGGCACCCCTTATTGTCATTGACTCATACTGATACTAAGGTGCATTCCTCGTGATGTACATCATTGATCATTAAATGTTTGATTACAACTGTTTTTTTAGTGTTTGTACTTTTCTTCTTTTCAGGATAAAACAATAAATTTTCTTATTATTTTTTTTATAGGGATAACATTAATCCCACAGTTTAAAAGTATAGATTATTGATTATGATGGGTGTCTAAAGTCATCTTTGTTCTGATGCAACTGGTTTGTGGAGATCTTACCGTGACAGTCTGTTGCTATTTCCTCTTGTTCAGACTGGTGCGGATGGATGCATATGTCATATGGAATATATCAAACTCAAAGACCAAACAGTTTTGGAGTTCATAGGGATGAAACAAGTTAAAGAGTTGACTTCAGTGCAGTCTCTTTTCTATGATCAAAATTCTTTGTTTGATTTGACAAGCAATCTTTATGCAACTGGCTTTGCATCTACAGATTTCATTATATGGAACTTAATTACGGAAGCAAAGGTTCTATCTCCTTCTCTCTTCTCACACACACACAGATGCACACTACTGCAATTACAATTTTTTGGGATCTCAAACAACGTGGATCGGAGCAGGTGTTACAAATCCAATGTGGTGGATGGCGGCGGCCTTATTCTTATTATCTTGGTGATGTACCAGAGCTTAAGAACTGTTTTGCATATGTCAAGGTTTCTCCACACCTCCCCCCATTCATGTCTGTCATCTCTTTTTGTACTGATATTAGAGAACGGTCCTTGTAGTTTCTGACTTTTCTTGTTTTTACTTCAGGATGAAAGGATCTATATTCATAGATATTTGGTCTCAGACAGTGAAAGAAAAATATATCCTCAAAATTTGCACGTACAATTCCATGGCAGAGAGCTGCATTCTTTATGCTTTATACCTGAAGACTTTGAACTTAAAGCTGACACCAAGCATGAAATCTTATCCAAATCTAGCTGGATCGTAACTGGTTGTGAAGATGGAACTGTAAGGTTGACCAGGTATGCTGTCATTATCGTTATCCCTAGCATCTGACTCAAAATTAGACAATGAACCAGTAAATGTCTGATGAGTGATGAATATAGCTGCTAACTGCTAAAGACACTTTTACATATATTTGTGATCCCCAGCTTCCTGAAGACAATGAAAATTATCTTCAATTTCCTTGCTCTAGGAAATAGAGTTTAGACTAGATCAGTAGCCTGCAATTAATGAAATTGTATTATGATATAGGTATACTCCTGGCACCAGTAATTGGTCAGCTTCAAAGTTGCTTGGGGAGCATGTTGGCGGATCAGCTGTGAGATCCATATGCTACATATCAAAAGTACACTTGATTTCATCGGATGGGACCATTATACCTGATATAAAAGATATAAAAGAATCTGACTCAGACGACAGAGAAAATCCTAGCTTACTAATTTCAACTGGTGCTAAGCGGGTATTAACTTCTTGGCTACAGAATCAGAGGAAGCTGGATAAAATGGAAGGAACAAATGGTTATTTACAACATAATGGCAAAGTTAGATATGAACCCTCCGGACTGTCCTCATCAATTTCCTTCAAGTGGCTTTCTACTGATATGCCAACCAAGAATTCAATTTCCCATAGAAATTCATACAATACTAGGACAGATGAAGCCAAGACTGCTTCTAGCAGAAATCATGATGCTAAATTCAAATCACTTGAAGAAAAAGAGGAGGTGAGGCCTAATTCTTGTCCCATAGAAAAATATGAAGATGACTGGAGATACTTGGCGGTTACTGCCTTTCTTGTTAGATATTTTAATTCAAGGTGTGTATTCTTTCCTTCCATGTTCTTTTTTCTTTATTGATTACTTTCTTAAACTTCAGTTTCCATTAAGATTCTTCTCTTTTTTTTTTGGCTTCCCAGGTTTACTGTCTGTTTCATTGTTGTTGCATGTTCAGATGCCACACTCTCACTTCGAGCTCTAATTTTACCCCATCGGTTATGGTAAATATGAAGAAAATGATTAACTGACATTGCAACTTAATGTCTTAGATTTCACGCTGTTATTTTCCTAACTAATTTTTCTGCAGGTTTGACGTTGCTTCATTGGTTCCTGTGCGATCACCAGTTTTGACATTACAGCACATAGTTCTTCCGAAGTTCTATCCTAAAGGAGGAGGTGTGCCTATTTCACTTTCCCATTAGATCTTGTAGTTGGAAAAAGTCATGCTAACGATTGTTTTATATTTCTTGACATTCAAGTCTTTTTTTGTATAATCTTGTAGTTATATTCCTGAAGTATGAATAATAATTTTCTTATTGATTACTTGACATAAAGCATAACTGATGTATTATTTGGATTTAAGCAGCATAAAATACAAACCCTTAGTTTTGAGTTTTTTTTTTTCTCGTTTTGCATCTCAACCAACATGCTGGATTTAGCTCAAGTCCTGGTCAAACTGGCCTGCTTGAACCATTATTTGACTGATCATAGCATTGTCATATTTATCATGTTTTAGATACTCTCCAGATTATATTTCTGATAGGAATGGTCCTCGGGGTAATTAGGGATATTATTAGGGTACTAAGGGTACCTTAGTAATTAGATAGGGAGGTTGTTAGGGAGAGTTATTATAAATAGAGTGAGGATCTAAGAATGAAGGCAGATAATTAGTGAGTATGGTTTAGGCTTGAGTAGAGGGAGGGTCCAAGTACATTGAATTACTTGGAGTTATTTGTAGTTATTGTATCTTTTTATATTTCAATATATTTCTAGTTCGGGTTTTATTTCTTTATTACAAAAGGCATGTCAAGGCACCACCTTGGTTCTTTACATTTATTACACAAGTTTTTTTGCCTAGAGAAATGAGAATGGTTCGCTTTCCAATCCAAGTTTAGTATTTATTTATAATTTTTAATACTTTGACTAGAGGAGCACACCTTATCCTCTCGTAATTGTTTTCATTTTGCATGGGGAGTGTCATGGCTCCTAACACAAAAGAAATTATGAATTGGTGTTTAGCATAATTCTTTTGTTAAGTACTTCATAGCTTGAGTCTCTTTTTCCACTTTCTAATAAAGTTTATTTCAACAGGAGAAACTATGGTTGGGAATGTATACATCGTCATTAGTGGAGCCACTGATGGAAGTATTGCATTTTGGGATTTGACTGGAAATATTGAAGCATTCATGAAACGTCTCTCTTCTCTTCATCAGGAAATGTTCATTGATTTCCAAAAACGGCCTCGTACAGGAAGAGGAAGCCAAGGTGGCAGATGGCGGAGATCCTTAGGTAGTGTGACCAAAGGTGGACTGAGAAAAGATTCAAAGAAAGGTGGAGACGATACCAACGTAAGTATACAAAATGAAGTTCCTCATGAAAGCTCATCCAGAGTAGACATATCTGAAGCCAATACGGCTTGCTCTGAACCAGTCTGTTCTACTTCGTCTGAACTAGTTTTGAGCTCAGGCGATTCTTCCTCTGAGATGTGTGAAATTCGGCCTATCTATGTTCTAAGCAATGTTCATCAATCTGGCGTGAATTCTCTCCATGTATCTGCTGTAAACAGTTCCAAACGTGTTAATAATTGTTTCACGTACCATTTGATTACTGGCGGTGATGATCAAGCCCTTCAATGTCTTACGTTTGATTTATCTTTGCTCTCTGAAAGCCCTATTTCTGAGATAGTAGAACCTGAATCTGAAAGCATGAAGAGGTGCATATTTCAGAGTCAAGACTGTAATCATAAATATATGGTTAGGTTTCTCAGTTCTCACAAAATTGCATCAGCTCACAGTTCGGCTATAAAAGGTAAAAGTCTTATCCTTTTACATTCTTAGAGCGGGTTTTAAATTTCGGTCCATGCCTCTTGGCTTCAAACGAAAATGTGTGAAGCAATATTCCTTACCTGTATTTATATTTACTCAATCCCACCTACTATGGCTATTCATACTTTGTTTCATCATTATACGCACTTCACATGTTCAATGAGGGTTAGTAGTTCATACTATAAATTGGAGTCTGCGATCCAAGTTCTGAACAGATATTCTGTGCTATGCACTTCATTCTGAAACATTGTGGCGTTTTTATAAACTTCATAACAAGACGTTTTTGCAGTGTTCTTCAGAAATTAGTAAAGATCCATTGTTTCTTTTCCCTGAATAGGTGTCTGGACAGATGGGATTTGGGTGTTCTCTACTGGTCTTGATCAAAGGATCAGGTGTTGGAAACTTGAGGCAGAGGGGAAATTGGTTGAGTATACTTACTTGATCATTACCGTGCCAGAACCGGAGGCCATTGATGCTAGAGCCTGTGACAAGTTAGTGGAACATTTAATTCAATATGCCTAATGCAACTTATCATTACATTTGTTTGACTATCGTTTATTGTCTTTATTATTCTCCAGGAACCATTATCAAATTGCGGTAGCTGGAAGAGGCATGCAAATTATTGAGTTTTCTACATCCCGTGAGGCTGGCATAAGATGAAAATAGGAAACTATCTTTACATGTTATAGCAATTACAGGGGAACGTATTCCCTCTCAGTACAGTGTAAAGTACTCCCCTCATCTAAATGGTTACCTTTTAGCCCACATGATCCAACTAAATCTGTACCCCTTGTGACTGCCCTCTGCTATTCCTTACAAATCTCAGTCAATAGCTGGTGTCCACCTGTACTAGTCTCAACCAACTATTTAATTACACAACACTGAGCTTCCAGCCTTGAGTTGCTATTCAGTGGGCCCTTAACTCGTCTCTGCCTTTCTTCCCTTGATTGTCCTACAGCCTTACATGAATCTAATTGGGGCCTACCAACATATTTTTTCATCTCTCCATGGTGAGGATTCTGCATATGGTCTCTTTTCAAGATGGTAACAGTCGCCTGACCTCCTGAGTGAAGAAAGCTTTTCACATCGCATTTTAGAATTATTAAGTTATTTGTAGCTAAATGTATTAATTGAAGTAAATTGTGGCTCATTTTGCAGAATACTTCTTATTAATTATGGCTCATTTTGCAGAATACTTCTTATTCCTTTTGTTATATTTGCCCAGGTCATGCTCAACTTTGAGTTACGTATGGCCTTTCACTTCAATTTACTACTGTTTGTGTTAATGATTTTTAGCTCTTACTGTTCTTTTAAAAGATTAATAAAGCAGCAACTTGGTCGAGATAATTTCAGTGATTATAATAGTGATTGTTGGTCTTCAATATTTTGATAGTACAGTACAGTTTACAAGCTATGCTTCCAATGTAGTGAAATTGAAAGCTTGTTTAAACATGACTTGGTAATTTCACTTCCCAGGTACAAAGTTGGTAGCATAAGCCCATGCATTGTTGTTGACAGGGTCAGCAAGATGATCTGCGAGGTTCTCCAAAGGACCTTTTCCTGTTACAATGGCCTGCACGAAAAACCCAAACATGGAAAACATTGCAAGTCGGCCGTTCTTGAGTTCTTTCACCTTAAGCTCTGCAAATGCCTCTGGATCGTCGGCCAGCCCGAGGGGATCAAAGCTACCCCCGGGATAAATGGGATCAGTAACTTCCCCGAGTGGTCCTCCGGCAATACGGTAACCCTCAACTGCACCCATTAACACTACTTGACATGCCCAGATGGCCAAAATGCTTTGTGCATGAACAAGACCTGGGTTTCCAAGATAGTCAAGGCCACCCTCACTGAAGATCTGTGAACCAGCCTTGAACCAAACTGCTTCACCAAACTTGACTCCATTTCTGGAAAGAAGCTCTGGGAATACACATCCTAGAGCTCCAAGCATAGCCCATCTACTATGAATCACTTCGAGCTCCCGGTTCTTAGCAAAGGTTTCGGGATCAGCCGATAGACCTGCGGTATCCCAACCATAGTCACCAGGGAATTCCCCTTTGAGGTAAGATGGAGGCTCACCAGAGAATGGTCCGAGGTACTTGACACGGTCGGGACCATACCACGGGCTGCCTGAGGAAGCTGCTGGCCTCCCAGATCTCCTCATCGAGACTCTACCGTTGCTGCCAACCGAGGATGACAGCTCGGTCGGTGCACTCAAAGGAACGGCCTTTCCTGTGAATGTAGATGTTAGTGCCATGGCTGCCATGCCTCCCAAAGACAAGTAAGTGCTCAAAACTGCTTTTGAACTCAGTTATTGATGAATTGCAAGAAGTTTGAAATCTTCTTATATAGTGTCTGGTGAGACCCACAAAGTCTATCTTTGTGGATCTCCATCCTTTTTTTAATTGGTGGATGAGGAGATATCTAGAACTCAACAATCTCTATTATCTTACTCCACCAATCGAGGAATTATTGATACAGATTTCCTTAAATTCATTAGGATAATTATCTTGTTACTCTAGTGGTCCTCAATATGAGACCAAGGATTATCTCACAGGCTGTATATTAATTGACAAGTGAGGGGCACTTGCAACAAATAGGACACTATAGAAGTTCAGAAATGATATGATGCTTGAATAATTGCCAATGTCCTTTGGAGCCAGAACTGTGAAACCTTTGGGCAATTATAAATATCCATATTGATGAAAAGTCGAGATTTCATTAAGGAGAATGAAAGAATACAAAAGGCATACAAAAATAACAGTCCAACAAAAGGAGCCCCTCTAACCTTTGGACATCGAAACACAATGGAAAACTTGAAACCGAGAAGAGTCCATACCTCCTCCCAAGATCTCTCAATTTGCCTAAAAATTTTATTATTTCTCCCAGTCCCCAACTCCCATAGAACAGCTAAGAAACTCGTGTGCCACAAAAACCGACCTTGTTCCTAAACGGAGGGCGGGCGGGCGATGGAGATCCTCTTCCACCAATTGGGCAATTATATTGGGAACCTTGATGAGTATCATTTGGTGGATTTATAGTGAGATTAGGATAAAATACTTTGGAGGATTTTGAGAGAGAACTATTTGAGTGTATTAAAAAAACACTTTATTTTAAGTATTTTAGAATTTCTAAAGGACTTTGATTATATAACCTAAACTTCGAGAGCCAACTTGAGCATAGTTTAATTGAAAGATGTGAGTTTGAATCTCGTATTAAAAAAAAAAGAACCTAAACTTTGGGAAACTTTACGAAGTACTTTTAATTAATTGAAAGCATTTTTTTATCATTTCAAAATTTTATCAAATGCACGTTTGTTCCAATGCTTTCCATGGATATGAAATAGTCTCGAAGCTCCTCAAGTTTTAGTCTATGAGCTTTTTCCGAGGGAATGATGTTTTTTTTTTCTTTTAATTTATAGTTATGTATGTTAGTTGACTATATTAAGGTTTAAGGGTAAGTAAAATACAGAATAAATTGCTGGCTTTTCACGTAGAGAAAGAAACTTATAAAATAGAAACCAAATTGGAAATTTGCCTAAATCATAATAATTGTTAATTTTAGAAATAACTGTACTATGATGATGATCACAAACTTATAATGGAGCACCAAGTTCACTAATACACATATGATGTTCTTCTACCTTTTAAGGCCAAGCATCTCTTTCAATCGACTCACTCTAGCTATTGTGACTTGGTCTACCACTGCTTTGTTTACAACCTAACGAGTACGTTAATTTCACCTAACATATGTCCTAGACTTGTTAAGGATAATGTCGACCAAACAATAAATAAAAACGACCCGGGGAAACATCACTCAAAGATGACTTTAAACATCAAGGAGCTTAGCTGAAACTGAAACTTTGGAACATAAAATTTTGACGTGGTAATGTTTTTCTTTTTAATCCTTTTTTTAAGTAGAACATCGGGGTGAAGATTTGAAAGCACAATTTTTTGGTTGGAGATATACGTCTTAATCAATTGAGGTTGGCATATTTTATTTTAATCTTATAATGTAGTATTGATATTTTTTAATAAAACAAAAACTGTAGTTCGATCCTTTTTTTTAATTGATTTTCTAAAATCTATTACGTTAAATTGTAAACAATTAATTATGAGTTTTTTATGTTTTGCTTATTTAATCTCTAAACTTTAATAAATTTCAATTACAACTTTTTAGTAGAATGTGAGGTGGAGATTCGAATAAAATTTTCAATTAGGTTAATTTCTAGCAAGGGATAGTAACACGGTCTCTTTATAGACCCACATTATCAATCTGTCCTTTGTATTTACATGCCCTACCAAAAGCAATAATAATAATAATGATAATAATAATAATAATAATAATAATAATAATAATAAGACGGATGAATGAGATGCACTAAAAATAATAATAATAAGAAGGATGAATGAAACTTCTTACATTGATTATGCAAAAGACTTTTCCATAACCGTTGGTATTATATGAATTCTAATATTGAGTTTTGAATTATAACAATAATGTTTCTAAAGCCTGTATATCTCAAATTTTTTTTTTTATATTCGTGAGTGTCCGGATGAGTTTATGCACACCTCGATTAATTTCACGGGACAACCGCCTGACCTTACAATATTTGGTGTCGGAAAATACATAGAAATTACTAATTCCTAACAGTAATTCCTAACCTTACAATATTTGGTGTCGGGAAACCCATAGGAATTACTAATTCCTGAGGTAGGTGGTTAGAGATTTGAACCTATTCCCTCTTAATTACCCTAACTCCTTTACATTGTATCTCAATATTATAGTATAATATTATAATTTTGAAGTACATGATTCCAAATTAAACTGATTATTTGATTTAATTTCTCAATATTGAATTCCAAGTTATAATATTGAATTTTAAGTTTGATTGCAATAACCTTACACAAACAACATTGTGGTAAGTTCTTATTTCATACATCGTGTGCGATTTTTAGAGTACAGAAATTACATTCTAGTGGGTATTTGTGTTCGATCAAAAGGTCGAGAGTTCGAATTTCCACTCCTACTTATTGGACTGGAAAAAAAAATCATATTCTAATATTGTTTGGGGTATGAGTTGTAGAGTTTTGCATTTGGTATTATTGGAGGGGGTGTAATAATTTTAATTTTAATTTTTTATTTGCCAAGGTTTGAAGATAGTTCATGTAATTATTATAACCTATCTAATTATCTTTCTTGTTATTGTCCACTATATAACATTCATATAAGAATTGACGTACCACCAGAGCTCCCTAAACAAAAAAAATGAAATATATGGGGGAAAATTAAATTTTTTCTATCATTTGCTTAGGTTAGCTAAAATGCCAAAAGACATCAATTGCCCTTCCATTGCTTAATAATTACGAAAATCAATTTTTAGTTTCCCTCGATCTCTCCTTCTCTTCTTCTTCTCTTTCCAAAAAAATTTCTTCCTCTCTCTTCTAGGGGTGTTCATGGGTTGGGTTGGGAGGAGTTTTGGAACCAACTCGAATTTTTTGGTTGGTCATATAAAGGAACTGTTGGGTTTGAATTGGATGGTAAAGTTTGAATTAGATAGTCAACCCAACCCAACCCAACCCAACCCAACCTAATATCTTTGGGTTGGGTCGGGTTGTATTTTTTTTAATTTTTAATTATCACCGCGGCGACGGTGAGTTAGATTTAAAACTAAATGGACTGTTGAGACTAAGATACAAAATGTAATAAGATAATATGAAAACCTTAAATGAAAAACCTATGATTAAAACTAAATGGACGGTTGACATTGAAGATAAATATATTATTATTATTATTATTATGTATATATATATATAATTAAAAATACACATATATGCATAAATTCGGATTGGGTTGGGTTGACCCGATTTTTTAAAGGTTGAACTCGAGATCAAACTCAACCTTATCGGATTGGAAAAATCACAATCCAACCCAATCCGATGTTTCATCTAATCCAACCCAACCCTTACATATTAAATCACAACTCTTCTCCTTCTCTTTCCAACAAATTGCAGAGCGGCTATTGCCATGTTGAAGCTTTTTTTCTTCTCTCTATCCTTTTTTTCTCTATGACGGTGGAACCAACGACGTAGACCCACGCTCAAAATCTGCGAGTTCCTTATGAACCCAAACTGGTGTGAGATGACAGACAAATTTTCTTCCATAGATTTTTCTTCAACAAGATGAGCAAGAAATATAGGGCAAGCGAGAAAGAGAGTGAGCCAGAGAGAAAAGTGGGAAAGCTGGGAGAGGGCGAGAAGGAGGGAGAGAGTGAGAACGAAAACGAGAGTGACAACGAGAAAGAGAGGGAAAGAGTCCGAACGAAAGTGACAACAACCAAACCTTGTCCTCACCATCACCGGATATTTTGACAATTTGTTATTTAAAAAAGAAGTCTATATTTTTACATTTCTCTGTCAAATATTTAATGGTGGTCCTTTTCCTTAAATTAATACTACATATTCAATAACATAAAGTAAAATAATATTGGTATGAAAAATAAATATCAGAGTATATTGTTCAATAATAGAAAGGAAAGTAATATTGCAAAAGCGAGCATAGCTCAACCGAGAAGTTGTGAGTTCAATCCCCCACCTCCACATACTAAAAAGAATAATAATAATAATAGAAAACAAAGTAATATTGGTATGAAATGAGTATATTGAATGGAAATTATGGGGAAAAGACGAAAATAACTTCCTCATATTTTGGATGACTAATGTTGGTGAAGAACTCAAGAGACAAAAAAAAAAAAAAGAAAAAAAGAAAAAAAAGCGAGATTAAGGAAAATATTGAATTTTACATGATTAACCGTAATCATACAGAGATAATTTTTAGAAAATCAAATCTTTCATAAATGTCTCTGTGAACTACCTTAAATGAAATACAAATAAAATAAAACATAAATAGAAAATTTAGAATAATAAATATGGGCGAGAAAAATTAAAAAGAGGATAATTTAAGAATGATAATCAACATTTCAAACCTAGAGGTCTAGATCTGAAAATGTTTACAAATATGGACCTTTCTAAAAATATTACTTGGAATCTACTCACTAGAGATAATATTTAATTAATATAATTTATCACACCAACAACTACAATAAACAATTTAATAACAATTTGTCACGTCATTTTAATATTAGTCAATTAACAGTAAAAAAAATCAGGGACCATTTAGAACTATTTCTCAAACTTCAGTGACAAAAAATGTTTATTTTAAAATTTCAAGAACCAAGTTGACACCTACTTTAAAACTCAAAGATGAAAAATTGTTCATTTTGAAACTTCAAGGACTAATTAGATATCTATTTCAAATCTCAATGACCAAAAGTATTCTTTTTGAAACTTTAAGAACTAAGCAACACCTATATCAAATTTCAGGGACAAAAAATGTATTTTGCCGTTTCGATAAAGTATGAGGTGGTAGCAACCACAATGTCATGAACTACCCACTAGACATAACTTCAATGTTATACCAGATCTCGACACAAGTGAGTAAGCTACCTGCAATGTGATGTGCACAATTCAAAAATTTGAATTTTGGTTTTAATATACTTTGCCCCATTGATTAATTTAAGCTTGCACCTTATTTTTACAAAATACGCTCCATATGATCATTCAAAATATGTTATATGATTACTCAACGTATAGCCAAAACGAGCATAGCTCAACGTTAATTGACATATGCCTCCAACCAAGAAGTTGTGAGTTCGATCTCCCACTTCTACATGTACTAAAATAAATGATCACTCAACGTTTAAATAACTATATTTAATAGTAAAGACACTCTAGAATAAGGTTGAAAACTATATGTTGAACGAGACACAGCCAATTTGTAATTTCCCATTACAATATGTCATAGAGTGCACTCTTTGAAAACCTCCCATATTTGATATTCTCTTTAGAAAGAAACAACACTTTTAATTATTTTAAGGGATGCATTTTCCAAAATCGTATATTCTTCCACTCCTACTTGCTACTAATGGGAAAAATAATTAAAAAATAACAAATACAGAAACTAATTCTTTTCAACTGTCGGAACCTTTTATTAGATGGCCATTAATTACTGATGAACAGTTGGTTCTGAATGAACTTGCATTAAAATAATACAAAAGAAGGGTCATGCAGCCAAAAAGACACCCTATAATCCAGCCAAAGCCCAACCAAAATATGAATATGAATTAATGTCACAATCAATGGAGTCATTAAATTTCAGTACCAACAAGAATTTGCAGGGCAGAATAATCCCTTTCATTTTTATAGAAAACTGGTACAAAATGGATACAACATAAAGGTAAAATGAGCAACAAGAAAAAGAAGCAAAAAAGGATCTCGCATGTAAAAATAGAACAGCATTAGCAGAGAGCTAAGGGCACCAGTACCACACACATTATTCATCCAGTAGTAACCATATTCATCAATGGCGGCTTCTTCATCAGATTCAAGATTGAGGCTTCTCCCATTTGAGGGGCTTCACAACTTCCCAGGTGAAATCTGTGTCGTCCCTTCCAAAGTGGCCATATGCAGCAGTCTTCAAGAATCTGCCATTACCACCTCTCTTCAAGTCCAGGTTGATGGTGATCATTCCGGGTCTGAAGTCGAAGTTCTCCTTCACAATCTTGAGTATATCCTTGTCGGGGATCTTTCCGGTTCTGTAGGTGTCGACGAAGACCGACAATGGCTCAGGCACACCAATGGCATAAGAGACCTGCACAATTGCCCTTTGAGCAAGGCCGTTGGCTACAATGCTCTTGGCTGCCTGCCTGACAATGTAAGCGCCACTCCTGTCCACTTTGGTTGGGTCCTTCCCAGAGAAGGCACCTCCACCGTGAGCTCCCCACCCACCGTAGGTGTCGATGATGATCTTACGACCGGTGAGACCTGCATCTCCGTGTGGGCCACCGATGACGAAGCGGCCAGAGGGATTGAGGTGGAAGATGGTCTTCTCATCAAGGTACTTCTCGGGGATGACAGGCTTGATGACATGCTCCTTAAGGTCAGCTGCAATCTCATCATTTGTGACGGTTTCATCGTGCTGGGTGGAGATGAGAACCGTGTGGACTCGCACCGGAACCATAGCGCCATTTTCATTATAATACTCCACAGTAACCTGGGTCTTACCATCAGGTCTCAACCACGGGCAGGTACCGTTCTTCCTCACCTCCGTGAGGCGAGCGCCAAGCTTTGTTGCAAGGACATGACTGAGGGGCATGAGTTCAGGGGTCTCATCTGTGGCATAACCAAACATGTGCCCTTGGTCACCAGCACCAATTTCCTCAGGTCGCTTAGTGAAATGGCCATGGACACCTTGAGCAATATCAGGGCTCTGCTGCTCGATGTTAACTAGGACCTTGCAGTTGTCAGCATCTAGACCCACATCATCAGAGATGAATCCGATCGAACGGCAAGTGTCCCGGACAATCTTCTCATAATCGACATTCGCTTTCGTTGTAATTTCTCCAAAAACCATAACCATGTTGGTTTTGGTGCACGTCTCACACGCGACCTTGCTATCAGGGTCCTGGGCAAGGCATGCGTCAAGTACTGCATCTGAGATCTGGTCACAGAGCTTGTCTGGGTGACCCTCGTTCACAGACTCAGAGGTAAATAGAAAGGTCTCCATTCTCTCAAGCTACAAGGTAAAAAAAAAAAGATGCAGAAATCTCCTTCAGTATCCAATTATAGAAAGTTCATGAGCTCAGGAGCAGAGAAAAAGCATCACAGGCATATCTCAGAATCAATTCCACACATTTTCAGTTGTAAAACGTAACATTTCACCTCGAATCTGAATTAGCATCATATTCTTCCGAAAACGATTAAACCCAATAAGCAGAAACAAAGCAACTACCAGTTGAAATGCGTAATAAAAGAGAGAAACCTAAAGCCCTAGTGTTCAACGAAAGTAAAAACCACGAACATCTCCACAGTAAAACCAATAGCAGAAAGGATTTCAATACAACATCCCCCTTTCCCCCAATAGATCAACCCACACTTACAACGACCAGATCTTCAGTTCCCCCAATAAGAAAGCAAACAACCAAACCCAAATAATCCACAACTCCACCAAAAGAAAGCCGTCAGATCCGAGAGATTTCCGTCAAAAACAAACACCACACAATAAACCAAACAAACAAACTTCCAAATACCCTAAACACAACACTCATGACTTGGAAAGCAGGAAAATCCATCTCCGCTACAACCCACACACAAACACAGAGAGTGTAAGCCATTAAAGGGAAGAGAGAGGAACCTGGAAGAGAAATTGGGAGCAGATCCGAAGGAATTTTCGAAGTGAGTTGAGAGAAAGGAGAGGTTCAGAGCGGAGACCAGGGCAGAAGGAATCGGCGCTCGATGACACGAAATTACCGGCCTCTGGCTGCTCGTATTTATAGATAAATTTCCGCTGACGACCGGCTACCGATTCACCCGGTGGGATTCCCCGCCCCCCGGTGCGAGAATCTTCCACTTCAAGCGTCGTATTTGGTTCGTTGCTTTTAAATTTAAATCAAAATTATTACATTTTTTCCCCTCAAATTTAAATTGATGTCGTCATCCAAAATAGTTTTTGAAATTCTATTACTTTTTAATATCCATCAAAATCCACCTCATACTTCCATTGATCCTCTTTAGATTTTGTTGATTGGTTTGTTCATGAACAAATACAATTATATGTTTATAAAGTTGTTAAATTATAGGTCATCTGTGCTGAGCTTAACTGACACCTATTTTCGATCAAAAGGTGGTGGGTTAGTTCCAACATTCACTCTTACCTATTGTATTAAGGAAAAAAAATCGTACTCTCAATTTTTAGGTTAGTGTTTTTTAATTTTCAACTTAGTGTGTAATAGATTCTAATTGAATTTTTTTTTGTCTAATAAAATCTTAAACTTTTAATTTTCTACGCAACAAGTTTTTGAATTAAAAAAATGTCGATCAGTTCAGCATCTACAAAATATAAAATTGAAAATTCAAGAACCTATTAACCACAAAATTGAATGTTTAAAGATATATTAGACACTCTTCAAAATTTAGAGACCTATTAGATATAAATTTGAAAGTTCAGGATTAAGTTTGTAATTTAATCTTAAGATTAGTTTCTAAGCCTGCGTCGTTAATAGTGTTACCCAAATGATAACAAAACTTATTTATTGGATAAATGTTTGCGGTTTTTTAACATACATGTGTGTGTCTATATATATATATATATTTTGTAATTTCTTTCTTTTTATTAGTTGTTAGATATTAGATTTAAAATAGTTTTCTCTAGAACAATCTCTATGCGAAGTAGTTAAATCACCTATTTCCAATTAAAAGGTCGTGAATTTGAATCCTGATCCTCACTTGTTGTACTTAAAAAAGAAAAAAAAAACTCTTACTAGATTGCATCATTTTTAATATCATATAAAGATAAAAAATTTTGGGACAATAATCATAAAAACAACTACTTAAAACCAGTAAAAAGAATATTGATCTTGTAGTTCATTTTTCATTACCATTTTAACTCTCTTTCTATCAAGATTATTTATGAACACTCTTAAATCAAAATTCCTATTTCTGAGGAAAAAGAAACTAACATTTTCAGCATTCATCTCACAACAATACATATACAAGATATTTAACTAAGAGGATCATCACATAACATTATTAACGATTCAGACATAATCTCGACTTGTTAAAGCATTAATAATCTCATTTAAAGATCATAGAAATCTCTGTCTTGTAATTGAATTGTAATTAGAAAGAAAAAAGGGTTGTTGTTTATTTGAAGTAAATAAATTATTTTTTATTTTTTAAATTTTTTTGAACCAAAGTAAATAAATTATTAGTATGGAGAAAATAATGGGTGATTGGAATTAGTTGGGGTTGGTGAAGGAGAGGTCCCAAAAATAGGTTGCCTGATTCTCCACTCTGCACTTTAATCGTGTTTAGGTCTGACCGGCAGGTGCCGGTCATCACCAACCCCAGCCGGTCTCTGTCTCATTCATCTACCGGAAGTTTGGAATGGTACAACATAATTCATTTCTTTTATTTTCTGAACTATACAAGAGAATTCATTTTAAACTTTTTCCTCTTTTTTTAAAAAACATTGTTTTAAGTTTTTATACTCGGTATATTTAAATATTTTATTTTAATCTTTAAAATTTTAATGAGCTCTCCAAGTTTTTTTTTAGTGCATTTAATGAAATAATTGGTAAGAATTTTAGCATTTCAAAACCTACAAATTAACTTTTTATTATAAGTTGTAGATATGAATCTAAAATAGGAATTAGAGAGTTGTTTCACAACTAATATTTTACCAATGTCCATTTATGGATACTTTTCATAAATATGTTTTTTCAATTATTATCTTTTTCTAGTATACAAGTGGAGGAGAGGATCGAACTTACAACTTTTTCGTTAGAGATATATGTCAATTATCATTAAGTTATGCTTGCTTTGGCTAATTATAGGACTTAGCCCCAAGTTTGGATTGTGCCCTAGTTACCTATTTAATTAAATATTTTTTTCATATTCTAATTCTTTTCGTCCTCATTCGATAAGCATATACTCATCCAAAATATTCTTTTCATATTTTAATTATATTATTCCTTTGTCTGGCGTCTTTTTTTTCCAATGTGCTTTTTACCCAACATATACCTCATAAGATATGGGGTTCTTTCCTAAGATTTGAGGTCATAAAGCCCCCTCCAACAAGAAGCACGGCGTACTAGTGATCCACAAACCCACCTCCACATTTCATCGCCAGCCACTATGGGACATGCATGTGGGTATGTTTAAGTCGTCGGCGTTCATATAGTCGAGTCTGCAAGGAGGCTGTGCTGCCGCTCGAGGTGCTTCTGTCGTGCTGACGCTTGCTCTCGCTGGAGGAGAGAGATTAGGGTTTGATGGAGTGAAGGAGAGAAACAGAAAGCGTGAATGGAGAGAAGATTAGGGTTTCTTAATTTTGGGATCTAGACCTAAATTTTGGTTTTTCCTTATTTGTAATTTTTTTATTAAAAATATATAAACATTAGGAGTTTGTTAATTTTCACATGGCCCCAAGGTTATTTACTTGTCCTTTGATTCAAAGGATACATTTTCATTCACTCTCATCCCACGTAGAATATTTAATGATTAATCCAATTCGTGTGAAAAACTTATTCACTAGAATTATGGATGTGTAATTACCTCATTGAGTAAAGTAAGAGAGATAGTGAGAGGTCAAATGAAATGAGAAGGGCCATTCGAAGAAAAGAGGTCAAGAGGTAAAGAAATAGATGGAATTCCACTTCTCGTGACATTTATAATGGAGGCATACGTGACGTCGTAAAAAACGTCACACAAGAATTTCATGACGGTTCCGAATTTCTACTATAGTACGAAGAATGGATAAAAATCGAGCCAGAAGAAGATAGGTTCAGATGAGAGTCAGTATTAATTTATATTATTAGATTGAGTTATTTAAATTATATATATATAGTTTAGATTATATTATTTGAATTAGGTTTTTAACGATTTGAAATTATATTAGTATAAATAGGTTATTATCTAAATGGACGAAATTCAATAAAACCTATGTATTCTCTACTACAATCAACAAATAGAAATTAAACTCAAAACTGAGGGACAAAATTTTTTTATTTTTTTTTATTTTTCAGAAGTCGGCAGCCCTTTGATCTTATTTGAGGGTATCTGTCCTCATACCCATACATATGCAAGGGTCATTGCTCGGTGGAGTTGCATTATCTATTAAAAGAGTTTTATATAAATATATATATAGTAGAGAAAAATAAAATAAAAAAGAAGAAATTCATTCGTAATCACCTAAAACAAACCACTTGACAATAAGAGTTATCTCATTATTTAATCTCACATTATAAAAAATTAAAGGCTTTCTTTTTAAGTAGAATGGTACATAATTTAAGAAATAACAAGATTAAAATAATTATCTCTATATTTATTAAAACAAGATTATTCAATAGAGGGAACCAATATCGAGGATTTTTTTTTTCAATATTACTAATTCCAAAACTTATTTAAAATATTAAAACTTTCACACAAATTCAATACATCGAAAACTAAGTAGCCACGTTGTAATTAATTTTTCTTAATTCATAGCATGTCGTCTCTCCGATATTTTATTATTTTTCTTTTGAAACAAACTTTAATTAAATCTAATTACTCTAACCTAATCTTAAAACGAACCAATTAAAAGTTTAACTTTAATTAAATCTAATTACTCTAGCATAATCTTAAAACTAACCGATTAAAATTTTTGCTTTAACTAATTAAATATTTAAAATTGAAATCAAATCGATGAAAATTAAATAAATTTTAAAATTTAATCCCTATCTGAATTAGATTTAAATTAAAATTCTGATTCAAGTGGCATTTTGAATTCTTGGCTTCCAAACACTTACTCTAAGTACTGTTTGTTTCATTAATATTTATGAACAAACGTCATGAAACCATTTAAAAAAATATTTATTAGTTAGACTGCTTTTTATTTTTTATAATTGGTTTGTTTTAAGATTCTCTTAGATTTATTTATTTATTTTTTAATTTTTAACAGTTTTTTAGTTACATCTTAGTTTATAGTGTCTTTTTTTTAGTCATGGAAAACTTTGGGACATAGGATATAATTTCTTTTTTTTTTTTTAAAGAAGGATTGTGGTGGACCTATACCAATAAAAAAAATGTAAATAATTGCTAGCTACTACGAAAGTTTGAGGAATTTTTTTAACATTATTTTTTAAATAAGTTTGAAAGCCATAATTATTTTAAAAATAAAATTTAAAATTAGTAATATTTAAAAGAGAAATACCCAATATCGAAAATTCAAGATCAAGGTATGGATCACAAGTCAAAGTTTTGAAACCGGAAGATTACAAAATTATCCTCGACGAATCTTCAAATTCGCAAGATTGCGATGGTATTTTAGACTTTTTGGCCGTTCCGCCGACAGACGAACGATTTGCCAAGTACAGCCACAAATATGAAACTAATACGAATACTTATTTTTCCTTTTTAATCCGTAAAATAGGTCTTTTTTTTTGTCCTTTTAGCGAGTGAAAAATTTCAATTCCATTTCTTACCGTTTAATAATTAAAAAAAAATTAGCTCATGATAAATTTACGTAGTATAATATTTAAAAACTTGGTTAAAATACCTTGTATTTTCGACCTCGGTTCAGTTTAGTCTTCATATTTTGAAAATGTTCATTTAGTCTTAGTGCTTTAAATTTTTGTTTATTTTAGTCCCCGTACATTAAAATTTTTCATTTTGGTCCCTATACTTTTAAAAAGTGATGATTTTAATCCATCTTTACACAATTTTAGTATAAATTTTACACATAACAGAAACTCTTTAGTATGTAATGTTTACGTTT